ATTCCAACGGATTTCTAGGTGATTTATTTTTTAATGAGTTTCATACCACATATCTTTATAACGAGAAAACTACGATCATATGGATTCAACATAGGTTATGCCAAGTAATCCTATGAACGTAACTATATTGGACGTACTCACCTCTTAAACAAACGGTTGATTGGCGAAGATAGTACGAATGGCGCTACGTCCCACGAACGTTCAGCGTATGGACTCCTCTATCAACTCTGAGCTTCCTTGGTCAAACCTTCTCAATGATACCTTCCGGAGGTTCCTAATAACCGTTAGAGAGTTTATGGGAAGTGTTCTGAACGAAGTGATATAGTTATAGGAAGAATACTAAACAAACCCGAGAGGCTCATCACCAGTGACGCATTCCTGGTACTTTGGCCATATCTCTCTCACTTCTTAATAAAATCGAAAACCATTTGTTGCGTTGGACTCGTAAGAAACGGGGCTATAAATTTTCTGTAGAAATTGGTTAGAAATAATGAAGATAAAATATATCAAAACATTACCCACAAGCTGGCTGATATGTTTGAACTCAAGAACTTAGACAATGGATGGACTTTCTTCTTCTTCTTGCTGGTTCCAGGCCGAAATGGAGAGAGGGAGATGAGGGAGTTGGATGGTTGCAGGGCCGGCCCAAGGGTGGGCTGAGCAGCCCTACCGGACCGGGCCCAATATTTTTAGGGGCACAAATTTTATCAATACTGTATAACACTCCGTATTATACAAAATTGAAATATAATTTGAAGGCTCCTGGATTTGAACCTTGGTATACGGCGGGGGACAAGAGACACTTCATCCACTTGAGCTACTAATCCCATTGTTACATATGTTACCCAATAGGATATATAACATACTTGCGTTTAATAAAACTTTCAATTATTTAAAAAAAGAAACACAAGTAGAAAAATAACTTCTTTTTATCTTTTTTTTCTAAAAATTAATATTAATACTTATACCTAAAAAAATTCATCAATAAAAATTAAGAAATTCTTATTAATTATACTTTAATATATTAAAATTAATTTTGTCTTCTACTTTTCTTGTTTCAATCAACTAAATATAAGTATGAAGTGTTAGTTACATACAGATTACATAGTATTATCTAAAAACACATTACCTAGCTTTTATTTTTAAAAATAATTGTATTGTATTTCTATTTTAGTATATATTTATTTGATATTCATTATTTATCTCTAATTGTAATAAATACTACAAATAGAAAATAGAAAGTGTGATGACATATGCAAAATGATATAAAAAAACTAGATGGAAGAATGAAAAAACACAAATTAAATTTCCTTATTATTTATTAAAAAAATCTAATAATATAATTTATTTTAATTATAATTGATCAAGCTGTTGACCCCTGAGTCGACTAGTTCAACTATTTAACCCTCGACATCCGGACTAATTTCCAGAACATTGATTTGGGGATATAAGTATATATAAAACCTTTACTATTATTTTGATTCACTCATTTTAGTAAATTATTATTACGTTAATTGTAATTCGAATATAATTTATTTACACACTTTAATTCGTTAAGTCATTACGAATAAGACCTTTAGGCCTTTTTTCTGTCTCGGCCCAGGCCATGGAATTCTCGGGACCGGCCCTGGATGGTTGTTTGGTGAAGTAACCAAAGTGAAGAAGAGAAAGAGAAAGGGGATGTATGTTTTAAAGACATGAAGAGGGGTGAAGAAAACTAGATAAGGCATGGGGAGAGGGGGGCCGAACCAAGCACAAGGGAAATGGGTGGAGTTTCCAAAGTGACTGTAAATAACACTATACTGACCTGAATGGTACACACTTTCCCCCCAAACTGCTCCGAATCGAAAACCGTTTGAAATTCATGAATTAGACAGTCAAGAATAATATTATGATGTAATCAAATAATTTTTCTCAAGACTTTATTTTTTCCAACCCTAGTTCGTATTAGTAATTAATTAATAAAAATTGATCAATCCTAATAGGTCGGGTTTTAGGGTGTTATATATAGTGCTTGGTGTTTTGTAGTGCCAATAATCATATTTATGAGATAAAAATAAGAGATATTATATTAGTATAAATTCAAAGTGAGTTTAAGATTGTTTTCATCATACTTATAAGGTATTTGTAGAAATTTGGAATTGAATGTCTTGATTTTCATTGATGTATCCCTCCGCATATATAATACAAGAGTTACCAAAACTAACTAGGAATATACTCCTACATACAATCGTATAAAGAAACACAATATATTTATTAAATAACTATAAGATATTCTCAATACTCCCCCTCAAGTTAGAGCATGAACATCATATATGCCCAACTTGGATGGTAGAAATTGGAAAAACGGTCCAGGGAGTGCTTTCGTGAAGATATCGGCAATTTGAAGACGAGTAAGAACATACGCTGTGACAACCTGCTTGCGTAGTAGACATTCACGAACAATGTGACAGTCAATATCAATGTGCTTGGACCGTTCATGGAATACGAGATTAGCAGCAATATATAAAGCAGATTTGTTATCACAGTACAAAGTAGAAGTAACAACACACGGTACAAAAAGAGCATCTAACAAACCTCGAACCCAAAGTAAATCGGCACATGCATTTTCCATAGCTCGATATTCAGCTTCGGCCGATGAACGAGACACGGTTGTTTGTTTCTTTGACTTCCATGAGATCGGTGATCCTCCCAAAAGAATTAAGTAACCGGTGACCGATCTTCGCGTAAGAGGGCATCTAGCCCAATTAGAATCAAAATAAGCCGTGAGAGTCAAGTTACTATCACTACGCAATAGAATTCCTTGACCAGGATGACCTTTGAGATAACGAAGAACCCGCATAGTAGTATTTAGATGATCCAGACAAGGGGCATGTAAGAACTGAGATAACACATGCACAGAGAAAAAAATATCCGGACGAGTCAAAGTAAGGTATAACAAGCGTCCCACGATCCGACGATATTTTGCGGGATCACGGATCTCTGCAGTGGTAGACATGGCTAGATTATGACCCGGCTGAATGGGGGTGGCCACGGGTTTGCACCCAAGTAATCCGGCTTCGTCGAGGATGTCCAGGGTATATTTGCGCTGATTGAGTACCATTCCTTCCTTTGAGCGAGCACATTCAACACCCAAAAAATAAGAAACAGGACTAAGATCCTTGAGATTAAATTGATCGTCAAGGTAATGCTTGAACTTTGTGCACATCGAACTATTGTTCCATGCAATGAGAATGTCATCCACGTATACCAATATATATGACCAAGATATGAGGACCTTGACGGAAAACAAACAATGTATGATCGGCATGAGCTTGACGAAACCCATATTGACGTAGTGCCTGGCTTAACTTAGAAAACCAGTTTCGGGGAGATTGGCGCAAGCCATATAGGAACTTGCACAGACGACATACTTTACCCGGATAAGCATGGCCATAACTAGGAGGCATCTTCATGTAAACTTCATCTTGAAGATCACTGTGTAAAAATGCATTATTGATATCAAGCTGATGAACCTTCCAATTACGTGCGAAAGCAACGAATAAAAGAACACGGACGGTCACGAGTTTAGCAACAGGAGCAAAGGTATCAGTGTAGTCTCTGCCCCATTCTTGATGATTTCCCATAACCACCAGTCGGGATTTGTCACGCTCTTTGGTATCATCAGCCTTATATTTCGTACGAAATACCTATTGACACCCCAATGCTGACATGTCCCATGTATGCTTGTGGCGTCTACGACCACTACCACAAGTACGAGGAAGGCGAGGTTTGTCCAATCTATGGCCACCATATGGCCGGCATCGACGAGAATCCTTCCTCCTTCCATAGAAGCGCCTTTCCTTCTGAGATCCTGCCCGAGTTCCTCTTCCTGGGTTGCTACGATAATGCCTCCCGGGTAGAGCTCCTTAAGACCCAGGGGATTTCTCGAGTTCTCAATACCGTCCCCTCTTACAAAATCTGTATCCCTCCGCATATATAATACAAGAGTTACCAAAACTAACTAGGAATATACTCATACATACAATTGTATAAGGAAACACAATATATTTATAAAATAACTACAAGATATTCCAATAGTATATTAGTATAAATTCCATTTTTAGTCATATGATTTGGGTAAATTTCTGTAAAAATATAAATTTGTTTAAGATTGTTTTAAATGTAGGTACATCTAAGGAGTGCTATGTACCTTATAATAGTTTCAATTTTGTGTGTGCATAGTTTTTATATGCACCTAATCATTTTTTTGAGAAAAAGAAAGTAATTAAAATAATATAATCTCGTCACATCTTTACGTAAAAACTTTTGATGTAGTTTATATTGAGACCACGTATATCGTTACTCTAATTTCGCATTAGTATGATATTTCCCGCTAGTTCTGAACTAAATCCTCACGTATTTATTTTTGGAAGCCTTCGAAAAAACTTCATACTAATGGGATATGATGAATGTATATATTTTTGGTTCATCTACTCTAAAACTTTCGGTGTGAGACTCGCAAGGATCCCAATAATTCTTAAAAATATAAATTTTATTTTTTAATTTTATCATAATTTTCAAATACATTATATTAAAAAAAATGTTCAATTAAACATCATAAAACAAAGCAATTTTACTATATTCAACCAAAGAAGTTACTATATTCAACGAATCTATACCCGATTTAAATTTAGAATCAAAATCAGGATTGATTTTTTGTTGAGGGTTTAGAAAGGAAGCATTCAAATTTCCAAAAGTAAAGGCGACCCCAGACTGGAACCGCGTAAAACTCGCAAAGGAAAATGAAAAGCATTCTTTTAGTTTAACGCTTCTGATTTTTCTCCTCCGTCCGCCGTTTGGTCCCCCCTTTGTTTTTCTCTTCTCTTTCGTCTCCGCGTGACTAACCCTAGAGAGAAAATTTGGAATCTTTTCTTTTTCTTTTTTTACTTTTCTGGTTTCTATGATCCATTCCAATTCCACCTATAAATGTCTGCCTTCCTTTCTCTTCAGAATTCACCCCTTTCTTTCGTCATATGTCTCAGAGGCCCAACGTTCCTCACTTCGCATCCATAGCCTTCGGCCTCCATTCTCATCTCCTGGTTTCCAGTGAGATGAATTCCACCTCCAATTGGTCTTCTTGAATCAGAGATCTTTTGATTCCGTTTGAATTCTTTTGATTTTTTTTTTGTTTGGAATTCAGATCTCGATTTTTCGTTTTGATTTCCGAGATGGGTGTCAAGGGATTCGTCGAGGGAGGAGTTGCTTCCATTATCGCCGGCTGTTCGACCCACCCGCTGGATCTCATCAAGGTCCGAATGCAGCTCCAGGGCGAGCCCGCCCCGGTTGTCCAGACCCTTCGCCCGGCGCTCGCTTTTCACTCCACCGCCGCCCATGCGGCCCATATTCATATCCCCACGCCGCCGCGCGTCGGACCCGTTGCGGTGGGTGTGAGGATTGTCCAGCAGGAGGGCGTGGTCGCTCTGTTTTCCGGCGTCTCTGCCACCGTCCTCCGGCAGACGCTGTATTCCACCACCCGGATGGGGCTGTACGACATCTTGAAGCAGAAGTGGAGCGAGCCGGAGACGAATGCGATTCCGCTGCCGAAGAAGATCGCGGCGGGGCTGATTGCCGGCGGAATCGGAGCCGCCGTGGGGAACCCGGCGGACGTGGCGATGGTGCGGATGCAGGCGGACGGCCGCCTCCCGGCCGCTCAGAGGCGGAACTACAAGAGCATGGTGGACGCCACTTCGCAGATGGCCAAGAAAGAGGGCGTCACGAGCCTGTGGCGCGGGTCCTCCCTCACCGTGAACCGCGCCATGCTCGTCACGGCCTCCCAGCTGGCCTCCTACGACCAGTTCAAGGAGACGATCATAGAGAAAGGAATCATGAAGGACGGGCTCGGGACCCACGTCACGGCGAGCTTCGCCGCAGGGTTTGTGGCGGCGCTGGCGTCGAACCCGGTGGACGTGCTGAAGACGCGGATGATGAACATGAAGGTGGAGGCGGGGAAGGCGGCGCCGTACGCCGGAGCGGTTGACTGCGCTCTGAAGACCATCAGAGCAGAGGGTCCCATGGCTCTTTACAAGGGATTCATTCCCACCATTTCAAGGCAGGGCCCATTCACTGTGGTGCTCTTCGTCACACTGGAACAGGTCCGAAAACTACTCAAGGATTTCTGATTAATTAATCTGATGACGACGAAGAAGAAACACTTAACTACACTGTCTAACAAAGATTATCAATTACCCCGGAGTACGATTATGAATTGTGACCAAAATTAAGAACATGAGATGATTAGTATGTATTCCTCCATATTAAAGTGCTATTTGGCCAATTACTATATTCAATCAAAGAGCTTTTTGTTTGTAAACAAATTCTTGTATGAATCTTTGTGCACTAAAGTCAAACCATTTTTTTTGTGATTGCAGCCATGCCTTTACTCTCATGGACTCATTTTTTTTATTTTCAATTCTTTTGAGTTTTCAAAGTTTAGGCATCTTTTTAGGGTAAGATTTGTTGTTGACAAATGTGTACAATACTACGTATACAAACAATAACAGGGACTTGATGAGTAAGGACAATGTTCTAGGACCATTGTTATTTCATAGAGTGATTCATAGCTTTTGACAAAATTGGCTTCCCTAACAAACTTTTGGAAATTTATAAAGTACTCAAATCCTTTTATGAATATCTATTAGGGGTGGGAAAATGAGTCTTGGAATTCATGATCCTTGGATGCCTCACTTGAGAATTTTTTCCATCATACATCCTAAAGAGAATTGTTAATTGCAGACAACCTTCCAGTTTTCATGACCCACAATCAGCAAAGCATTTTACACAATCTACAGAAAAGTGTTATGCACAACATTTTTTTTCTAAGGAACACATTTACATCGGACATACTCTCTCTGCCTCCAAAAGTAATTTCTTGTTCAATATTCATAGGATCAAATATTGATCATTTTCTTTGTCCATTTTCATTATAAAACAAAACTACTCTACTTCCGTCTAATTTTTTTTTCCTATTTTGATTTTTTTGTCAAACTGTGACATTCTTTAAAAGAAAACCTCCTAAATAGGAGTAAAAGATATATGTCATATCCCAAAATAAGATCTCAAACTTAAACTCTCCTAAATAGGAGTAATTATTCTAATCTCTATTAAATCGGGCTTTCACCCCTTTCGGATCAAACGCTATCATGCTCCTTTTTCTCTCTCCTTCTACACATTCTTGTTTTGATTTTTGTCAAAGTGTGACATTCTTTTATCATATATTATGATAAAGTATATTTAATTATAATTTAAATCCAATAAAATTGGGTTCGTGTTAGGATATACTCCGTAGTTTTAATATATCAATTTTTTTTATTACATTTATGTATTTAAGTTATACTCCCCCCGTCCTAAAACTTTCTTCCTAGAGCACTATTCCAACTTCACGGGAATTTATATTTATTTGTGTTTTTTCATGGCCTATATGATAAAATAAAATATTCTTGTCACCACTTATTTTGTTGAACTTTTGATGTAGTTTTTAAATATGTATGTTTTATTTTTTATTTCTATACCAATATTTAAATAAAATAGATTGAAAAAACTTGGGATTTTTCTTTGTTTTGCGCAACGGGAAGAAAGTTTTAGGACGGAGGGAGTATTTATTTGCAGTCAAAGAGTATCATAGTTTAACAAAAAATCAAAATAAAGAAGATTTTTTAAGACGGAGGGAATATAGTCTTATCATCTGTTGTTTTGTTGAGTTTCTTATAAAGTTTTAAAATATATGACTATACAGAGTAAATTATTTATCATATTTTTATACCAATATTCATATAAATTAAATTAATTAAATTAGAAAGTCATTACAAGAGGGAGAGAACATTTCTTAGAAAGAAATCACCCAAATCCGCTGGATATTGTGCCTGGCCCCAATATTTTTAGGTCCACATGAGAATCAAATGATCTAAACTAACTTCAAAGGATGGGCAAGGAAGATATTCTGTTAGTATTGATTCTATTGGGCCGGAGGGTGGCCAATGACGAGTATAAAACATTCAATCATGCTTGGTGTCTCCGTGTACATTGGGAGAAATTTATTTTTGCGAGATATTCCTAGGTGGGAAGAATAGCAATTTATATTTCTTTTGTTTTTTATTTTTGACTTTTAGAATCCGATTATTTTAAATAATATAAATACTTACCTATTTTGCATGGGAGGTGGAAAAACGGCATTCCAAATACCCATTTTATTTTATTTTTTGTTTTTTGATTTTTCGAATTTTAGAATCCCGACTATTCTAAATAGTATACATAATTACCTATTTTGCATGGAAGGTGCGTCACAAAAACTCCATTAATATAAACATTTAAACTCTAAAAAAACATTGAAGAAAAATTAAACATTTTGATAGACCGGAAATATTATGAAAGAAATATTTTATTGAACAAGATATGTTCACCAAAAAACCAATAAAGTTATATTTATTGTGCTAGATGTATACATTCACAACTATAGAAAATACTTTTTAAACTGGTTATTTTTTATCTTTTAAATCGCTTGTCAATCGATGCAAAGATACCGATGCAATTGATGCAAATACTTTTTGCATCAATTGTCCAACCAATTAAAAAAGACTCTCCAAGAACTGACACCAGTTCTAGGAGGGACTTTTTGAATCGGCTCTTTCCAAACAACCGATTTAAAAAGTTGGAGCTCAAGAAATGCTTGAGAGATAGAGAACTTCCACACCCGTTTTAGATACTTACATCTTATCCGATTGATATATTTTGGTATACCTTAAAATAACTTTGATTTGAAATCATGTTTTACACGATTCATTAAGTCTATGAAGCTTCTTCATACTCATCTACTTCTAACACTGCTACGCAGCATTGTCTCTCCTCCTAGATTTTGAACAAAATCAAAATTGAAAATCATATTGGAATCACTCAAATCCCTCTTTAAAAATTTTGAACAAAAATAACAAAATCCAATAAGAAATTGCCCAAAAATGGAGCAAAATATATCATTTATCTCTAAAATAGGAATGCCATATTTTTATTTCAAAATAAGACTATATTACAAACTGACAATTTGACATAGTATATTGGCATTGAAAAGAATTTTTTGGTATAATATGCTGGCCTTATATATCTTATTTTGGTAATAAAAACATGAAGGTCTTATATATTTTGATTGTTTCCATATATTTTACTTTTATTCTAGTCATTTTCTCAAATTAAATGCCCAAAATCAAACCCAGCCATACATGTTCGATTTCAAAATCAATTTTCACTCTGAAAAACCTAATTAAACCAAAATCTGGCTGAATATAATATGGTTTGATTTTGGGCACTTCATTTGAGAAAATAACTAAGGTATGAATAGAACATTAAAAAAAAACTAACTTTCCCAAAATGGGATTATTTTAGCACTAAAACATAATGACTTTCCCCAAATAGCACAACATGTATTTTTCTTTCCAATGTAGCACTTTTAGTCATTATACATTAGTCATTATTCAAATAAATATCTGTTATCACTGGACATTATGGATATTATTAAGTACTATTTAAGGAATAAAATAGTTTAATTGCTATTTAGAGAAATGACTTAAATTTTAATACTATTTAATGCAAATATTTCTTTAGAGTTCGGTCTCAATCTTTTTCGATTTAATCTCAATCATGGTTAATCTTTTGGTTCCCAATCTTTAAAAAAAAAAATCATATTTCCCCTCAAAAACCCCACCCATCTTTGCTGTACATTTCCTACATAAACTCCTCTTTCGTGAACAGTTCTACCACACATCACTCTCTTTTCCTCTATGAGCTTATCTTCCTAGGAAAAAAGCTTGAAACCCGATGAGGAGATAAAATTTTGTTACGACGATGGGATTTTGACATAGAGTATATGAAAGAAGCATTTTTTTAAAAAAAAAAGATAAAATGGCTGACAGCAGCTATGACTGGGAAGAATCAAGCTTACTATGTGAAGAGACAAACATTCCATGCTTCTTTGATCTTGATTCTCCGGCGACGGTCGAGGTAACCCAAGAAACCGATGGCTATAAAGGCTTCATCTTTGGCACTAGAAGGTTAGAGCCATTGATTGATTTCCCTTGTCTGAGTGAGGAAAGCTTTGGGTCAATGGTGGAAAGGGAGGGTCAATATATGCCCAAGGATGATTATCTCAAGAGATTGAGATGTGGAGACTTGGATTTGGCACTGAGAAGAGAGGCTCTTGACTGGATTTGGAAGGTGATTTAATAAATTTCTATATTTTTTTTCCAATTATTTAAATCATTTTCATCTTCATACATTTGCAGGCTCATACCCATTACAGATTTGGGGATTCTAGTTTTTGTCTGTCAATCAATTATTTGGATCGATTTCTCTCCATGTATGAAATGCCAGTAAGTTCTCAAAATTTCAGTAATCTATCCCTTCTGTTCTTTTTTTGTTATACAGAAGTTTGTTGGGTGTTCATATTTAGGGCATTGAATGCTGATTGTCTGGACTTGTTTTTTGGTGTGATTTATTTTCTTTCTTGGAAATGATAGAACAACAAAACTTGGGCTGTCAAGTTGTTATCTTTGGCGTGTTTATCATTAGCTGCCAAAATGGAGGAGATCAACGTGCCTTTGACTGTCGATTTGCAGGTGAGTTAATGCTTGATGACACTTTCATATAGCAAACCATGTTTGGATCTGATTGTGTTGTTTCTTAATGTGTATAGGTTGGGGAGCTCAAATGTGTGTTTGATGGCAATACCATACAAAGAATGGAGCTTCTATTGTTGCGCACCTTGCAGTGGAGAATGCAACCCTATACTCCATTGACTTTCATTGACCATTTTCTGAGAAAGATTAATGGTGTTGATAAATACCCATCACTGCCCTTGATTTCTAGATCAATGCAGATCATCTCAAGCACAACTAAAGGTGCTTCTTGGTTGCCCCAACGAGACCCGTTTGGTACCCAAAAATGGCTCATCCTGCTTTATATCCTCTGGGTTGCCTATTTGGGTGAAACCGATTTTACCAAACGTGTCTCCCTTTTGGAAAATGCAATAAGTTTATTCATATCTGCTGTGAAATAAATTGAATGCAGGAATCGATTTCTTGGAATTTAGGCCGTCTGAGATTGCTGCAGCAGTGGCAATGCTGGTTTCAGCAGATGCTATAGCGGCTGGAGAAGACATATTTAAGGATGTCCCTTGTTTCTCACTAGTGCAAAAGGTGAAGAAATGAACTTTGTACAAGGCACAATAAACATTCAATTCATTGTGTTTATTTTTTCCTAACAAAAGGATGAAATCATGCAGGAAAGGGTGATGAAGTGTGTTGAACTGATTCAAGATTGGGCAAATGGAGGAAGGGGAAGAAATGGTTCTTCTTCTTCTTCTACTCCCCAAAG